ATTTCGGAGGGAACCAGCTACTAGATGGTTCGATTAGTCTTTCGCCCCTATACCCAAGTTTGACGATCGATTTGCACGTCAGAATCGCTACGAGCTTCCACCAGAGTTTCCCCTGGCTTCACCCTACTCAGGCATAGTTCACCATCTTTCGGGTACCAACATATGTGCTCAAACTCAAATCTTTCCCCACGAAGGTTCATGATCGGTCGATAGTGCCACACCGCAGACCGAAGCCCGCAGCATTTCCTACCTCAGACAACTTACGCTGCCCTTCACTTTCATTTCGCGCTGGGGTTTCCACACCCTAACACTTGCACCACATGTTAGACTCCTCTGGGGCGCCGGTTTTCAAGACGGGTCAAAACGCTCTCATTTTCGTCACGCTCCCGAAAGGCAACAAGTTTAAAACCCACATCAATTCACACACAACCACACACGCATAGCAAGCTATCCGCACACGGCGCACACAGAGACACAGGCCCACTCAAAAACACGTTGTAGGCACCTCAGTCCCAACCGCGACTACTCGTCCACCAAGATATAACAGACAAACGCAAGCGTAAGCCCTACCTCCTCGGCGGCCATTTCCCGCAGCATACGAACTGACCTTGACGTCCCACCGCAGCACAGGGCACCAGCAAGCACACACAGCACACACGCCGAGCGCAGCCAAAAAAGCCGCTGCCACAGCACACGCACGCACACACTCGCCAATGAAATATACCACGGATTATAGACACTGGAAACGATTCGGTTCCCTTTCAGCAGTTTCAGGTACTCTTTAACTCTCTTTTCAAAGTTCTTTTCATCTATACCTCACGGTACTTGTTCGCTATCGGGTCTCGCACCAATATTTAGCTTTAGATGGAATTTACCACCTACTTTGCGCTGCATTCCCAAACAACGCGACTCAAAGAAAACGGATCGTACGCACGAGCAACTCAGGGATGAACGGGAGTATCACCCTCCATGCTGTCCTCTTCCAAGGAACTTGCCCCAAGCGCCCACACTGATCACGCCTCTATAGACTACAATTCGCCGCGCAAAACTTGCACGGAGATTTTAAGCTTGAGCTCTTCCCGCTTCACTCGCCGTTACTAGGGGAATCCTTGTTAGTTTCTTTTCCTCCGCTTATTAATATGCTTAAGTTCAGCGGGTAATCTTGCCTGATATCAGGTCCAATTGAGATGCATACCGAAGTACACAACATTTCCCAAATGGATCGACCCTCGGCAGCCGAAGCCGCCACTCTACTTCGCAACAGCAAAGCCGATTCAAATGCCAAGCTAAAGAGCCATGGTTCACCAGTCCATCACGCCACAGCAGGAAAATCACCCAATAAGCGCATTGTTCAGCCGAAGCCAACCATACCACGAATCGAGCATTTCTCCATTAACGCCGCAGCAGACAAAACGGTCGCCAACTCGCTACAATAGCAGCGTCCACAACCAGCAATGCCACCACTTTTGGAGCAAAGAGAAGTACAGTTTAGTACATTTAAAAGGACTCGCAGTCGGTCCGAAAACCAACCGCAAGACACTTCACATCTGGCATCTCCTCCACCGACTACACGGAAGGAAGAAAGCCAAGTTTGTTGTACGGACACTGATACAGGCATACTTCCAGGACTAACCCGGAAGTGCAATATGCGTTCAAAATTTCGATGACTCACTGAATCCTGCAATTCGCATTACGTATCGCAGTTCGCAGCGTTCTTCATCGATGTGCGAGCCTAGACATCCACTGCTGAAAGTTGCTATCTAGTTAAAAGCAGAGACTTTCGTCCCCACAGTATAATCAGTATTAAGTAAAGGGTTTAAAATAAAAAGCTACTAGCTCAGACCGAAGTCCAAACGCTCGCCCTTTAGATAAGGCTCGCCCAGCAGTAGCCGCCAGCAATAAAAGCCAGCAGCCGCCGCCAAGTAAGACCCCCAACTATTGGGTTGAAACGGTTCACGTGGAAAGTTTTTAGGTGTGGTAATGATCCTTCCGCAGGTTCACCTACGGAAACCTTGTTACGACTTCACCTTCCTCTAAATGGCGAGGTTTAAAAAAGTTCCCATCAATCCACTCGCAATAAAGCAAACAGACTCACGGTCCCAATTTTTCACCGAGTCATTCAATCGGTAGGTGCGACGGGCGGTGTGTACAAAGGGCAGGGACGTAATCAATGCAAGCTGATGACTTGCGTTTACTAGGAATTCCTCGTTCAAGACTGAAAATTGCAACAGTCTATCCCTAGCACGATGCGCATTCACAAGATTACCCAGACCTATCGATCAAGGTTGTATACTCGTTGAACGCATCAGTGTAGCGCGCGTGCGGCCCAGAACATCTAAGGGCATCACAGACCTGTTATTGCCTCCAACTTCCTTTGGTTTGATTACCCAAAAGTCCCTCTAAGAAGTCCACAAACCTACCAAAAATGGTAAGCGGAACTATTTAGCACGCGGAGGTCTCGTTCGTTAACGGAATTAACCAGACAAATCACTCCACCAACTAAGAACGGCCATGCAAACACGCACCCATAGAATCAAGAAAGAGCTCTCAATCTGTCAAGTGGG